ACAAAGGAAAAAAGAGGGCAGAAGTTATTTGTGCTCTTCAGATCTGTCTTTTGCTTTTTACTGTTTGTTGTGGTTTAATGTCAGCTGGCAGCTAAGCCCTACACGGACCCTTGCTCATTCAGCCTCGCAGCAGGGTGGGAGAGCAAAGCAGAAGGATAAAAGTGAGAAAACTCATGGATTGGGATAAAGACAGTTTAAAAGGTGAGGCAAAAGCCATGTTCACAAGCAAAGCAAACCAAGAATTCATTCACCACTTCCCCAGGGCAGGCAGGTGTTCAGGCATCACCACCAGGGCAGGGCACCATCACGTGTGACGGTGCCTTGGGAAGACAAACACCATCCCTCCAAATAACTCCCCCTCCTTTTCTTCTCCCCCCAGGTCTAAAAGCTGAGCATGACACCATATGGTCTGCAATATTCCTTGGGTCAGTTGTGGTCATCTGTCCCTTCTGTGTCCCCTCCCAACTCCTTGTACCCTCCCAGCCTGCTTGCTGGTGGAGCTGGAGTGTGAGGCAGAAAAATCCTTGGCTCTGAGTAAGCAATAATGAACGCATCCCTGTGTTATCCACATTATTCCTGCCCTAAATCCAAAACATGCACTGCACAATCTACTATAAAGAAAATTAACTCCATTCCAGCCAAAACGTGAACACAATTGAAACTGATTTCCTTATTTTCCTTCTTTTCTGTCTTTCCATCACTGAAAACTTTCAAATGGTGGGAAATGGATACAGTCTCTTCAGACACTGAATTTAGTGGAACTTTGTACATCTTTGGCCAATTGTGATCTTGCTAACATAAAGAAAAATATACTTGAAATTGTGGTATTTTTGGATGCTATCAGAAATCAGGATATGAAAAAGTAAACATTTTAACATTCAAAATTCTTGTAACTTTTATTTGATTCTGGGATTTGAAAGCATGCATTTGAAAATTTTAATGCAAACTCCCAAAGTATGTTCATTACAAAGGATTTGGAGCATCTATGCTCCTCTACTCTTACAGCAGAAGTATGTATTTTACTGAGGAAATTTCTTAAATAAGCAGAGCAAGCAAAGTTCTTTGGAAGTCTGGAGAATAAAGGATTCGTTCCTACTGCATTTTTTTTTCCCACTTCAAAACCTGACAGTGATTAATCATAAAGCATTGCAAACAAAGGTATATTATTTTAGCAGCAGGCATTTGCCAAAGATTTTGTTTTAGAATCAGCGCTATTATTTGTGCATTACACTGAACAATGAGCGATTGTAGCCACCCCTCCAGTCCTTACTTGCTTTGTTATCTTCTCTTTGTCTTCTGTGTTATCTTCATTTTTTTTATCCTCACTTGCTGCTTTCGTCAAGTAATATAGGATGGATTTTTTGTTGCTGCAAGGTAGAGTTTCTTTCTCATGAGTCCATGGAGCTAATCACATATCTTTATTCAAGATACAACTTAGAGCAAATTGAAGTACCTTCATTTTTCCTGTTATATCCTTTGACAGATTTGATGGGCAATACATTTCATAATTAATTGATTGTGAAAACATGTATTTCTGCATTTTTCTTTCATAATGTGTGATGTATAAGTGCTCAATGAATAATAGATTTTTGTCTGGAACAATTTTTGATATCTTTTGGGAAAAAGAAAAGCATAATGGAGGATGCTTAAAAATGTTACATGTGATGAATTGTCTCAAATTGCTGAAACCCTGTGATCAGATGAGTAGTGTGGACAGATAAAATCCTTCAGGCCCTTGATGAGACAGTTTGTTGATCAAAGGTTTGTGTGGAGACTAGACACACACTGATAYAGGCTTTTATTTCATCTTGTATTAACAGCATAATAGGGTCCAGTATTGTGAAATGCTTATAAAAGCAATTTTGTACTTAGTGACTATATTTTTGTCTCACTGTTGGGGTATTTTTTGTCTCATTCCCTACAGACTGTGGTGGATCTATCAAGCCCTGTATTAGAAGGGGGTGAGATGCCRACATCCTTTGTCAGTTACTACATACCATGAATACATAATCTGTGACAAAGCCACCACTTCCTTCCATTTCTTTTACAGCTAATGGAGATTTGCTGGAACACAGCTATTATTTGCATGGGAATAGTCAGATCTAGATTATTTTAATATTAAAACATTAAAATCAGTTGGAAATACACCTGAAGAGCACGTGCAAGTTTTCATCTCTGGTAGAACAAAGAAGGATGCAGCTCTGTGGCAAGGATTAAACTGTGGTCCAACCACTTTCCTAGTGTTTGATCTGTTTGGTGTGTCCTAGCTTTTCTTCCATTTTATAGCTACATTAGTTGAAGTATCTCAATTTCCCTGTTACTGCAGTGTTAATTCTGAACAGAGTTGCATCCATTCATCTGATGTCACCGAGCAGCTTGGCTGGGGTTGAGTGAGATCCGTATTTTCTAGCTGAGACTTTCTAAGTTTGGACTAGGAGAGCATAACCTCTTCATCCCATTGGCTGCCATTCTTTCCAGGGGATTTATATTAGCTGTGTACTTTCATGGAAAGAGCAGGTTTTTCTGTTTCTCACTGCAAGGATAGCAGCTTTCTTGCCATGTTTTTCTGACTTTGATGTTAGGTACAGGCTTTGTTCCTTTCACAATGTTTGTGAAATGAAGCCATGTTTCTGGCATATGAAGAAAGGATAGTAAGGTTAAATACTAGTACAACTATTGACAGACTACATAACATTTGATTCTCTTTGCTTGTCCTTTCCCAATAAGGTAAGTTAGAGAAATAGTGTGATCTGAATCAGATAACTCATCAGACTTCCTATCTAGAATCCTTAATATATGTCTGCTGTATCATTTACAAGGTAGGATTAATTCAGAAGATTAATTTGATATTTGTGTCCTCAAACAAACACCAGATGTGAGTAATTAGATACTCAATAGAAGTAAACACTGCTGTATTTCTGCATTTTATTTTAAATGTTAAGGAAGCTCCTGTCTGGCCATCCAGGARGCTCTCTGGCAGTCACTCTCAGACCCCCTGAGCTGGGTCCAAACCCCTTCGCTGGGGGCAGCTCCAGGGAGCCAGTGGATGTCCACAGCCAGACAAGGTTTCCTTACCTTTTGTACTTTGAGTGCCCATTACCTGGCAGTGACACGGGTCCCCTTGCCCTTTGCTGTGCAAACTTGGCACCAGTTCACTGCCTCTTGCCGCAGGCTCCTGCCTGGTGGAGTTCAACCTGCAGCTCTCACTGCAGCTGCTCGCCGAGCACCTGCACTGATGGATCTTCTGTCCAAGAAYGGTACCTTTTCAACCTTTATTGTATCAGGATTAAAAACATTTCAGAGCTTTTACTCTCTTCCYAATGTTTCTACATTGTTGTTACATGCCTTAAAGCAGACTGACACTGCAAATGTGTTCAGTTTGCATTCTCTCTTCTGAACATTTTCCAGCTGCTTCCTTCAGCTGTGAATTCTCAGGCCTATTGCAGCTGTGTGAGCATGTCTTGTGGTTAGTAATTTTTGACCGAGTGCTTTTTTTTCCTCTGGACCTTTATGAATTCAGGTAATCCTTTATCCCAACATGCTTCAAGAAATGATCAATTAGCTGATCTGCTCACTCCTGAACTTCTTTTCAAGAGACTAACATAGAGACAGAAGGCTCTTGACTTCTGAAGTGCTGCAAGCTTTCTTAAAACGACATGATCTGACTTGAATTCAGTTACATTTTAAAATTAAAGTAGGCTTCTGGAAGTTTATTAACATGGGTGGCTGCAGAGTCACTAACTCCTTCGTTTTACTGCTGTGTTACAAAAGAAGTATTGCTGATTCTTAATGTCACAGTATTTTCAACTGGTGTAAAGAAACATAAAGACTTGAAGCAATATATAAGACTTAGCTTTATTCTCTTAATTTTTTATTACCCACAATGGTGAGAAGTCAGCAGACAAAGTTCCGTAATATTTTTAGATCCTAATGGTGTTTTACCCATGTCCAGCTCTCAAAGTACTTTGAAGTCAGATAAATAGAGTTAGSTGCTAGCATCAAAATAGATATATAGAGAGATATGAATGTTGAAAATGTGTGTAACTTGCAGCCTAGATACCTAATAAACATAAAAGGCTGACATAAAGCCAGCCTTCCTAATTTTTAATATCACTTGATCACAAAACTTAATAGCGTACCAGTTGTATTTGGAAGAATGAGGGAGGTGGTTGTCTCTTTTTGATGAAAAAGGTGTAACCAGACTGAGTTGTTTGTAAACAACTAAGTTCGAAGTTCGAAACATTAAAAATTAAAATAATTAAGAGGGACTTTTTTCAGTAAAGACAATTATAAATCATTTAAGAAAATTCTGCAGTGGCATGGGACACTTTACATGCCTTAGAATGTTTATTTTCTTAGCTATGTGCACTTCAGCTCACATGGAAACCATTTAGTCCAGACATTATAGGGTAGTATTCTCTGACTCACTACACATGAAATTGTATTTCAAATCAGAAATATTTYCATTACATTGAAAACTCTAATACCAAAAAAAAATTGAAAAATTGAAATTTTTTTAGTGRAATTTTGGAAATACACAGAGAAAATAAAAACATTTACTTCTTAAGTATTTAATTGCTTTGTCTCAGTAGTGCTGACATGCCATTTTGTACTGAGTTAAAAAAACCAAAAAAACTCCAAGCAACAAACCCTCAGAATTATTCATTTGAAATTTTAAAAATCCCTTTTTGTCTTAACATTTTAATATTGCTAAGATAAGAAATCSAACCACTATGTCATTTAACCCTTTAAAATACTGTCAAACAAGTGCAAATATTAATTTTTTTAATGAAAGCYAAGTTAGGACTTAGAAAAATATTCTGATCGACCCTTAAGTGGAAATGGCCAAGGTAGATGATGACAATTGTCCCATAGGCCTCAAAATCTTTCCTCCTTTAGTCTAATTGATGAACACAGCTTCTCATATATGATGTCATCTCTGTAAGACAATCATGACTTAGAAGGAAACTTCAGCTGGTTCCTGCATGGCTGAAGCCATCATGGCTCCTGATGGAAATGTCCATGAAAGCAGACAAGGCTTCTTGAGCGCCAGCTTGCAAAGTGGGCAGGTGAATAATGTTAGCATGAGTTTACCTTCAGTGTAGGGAATTTATGCAGGAAACGCCAYTGTATCCCTGTACATCTCCATTTTGTTGTAGGAGACTGTGAATCTAGTTCATATTTTCTTTCCTTGATGTTAGATTTACCTGCAAGMTTCCCTGTCAGAAGTGATCCCTTCTGGATTTTCATTGCAATTTTGTGCTTATAATTTCATATTAAGAAAACCACTTAATCATCTTTTCCCAGTTTCAGAAAAAAATTAGCTGAGTTATTTTTTGAGGCTATTTTTTAAAAATTTCCTATTTGAGGCTTTTTTTTGAATGTCACACTCAASCTCAAACATCACTAGTGAGACTTATCTTCATTAAAGTTAAGTAATTCTTCATATGCAAACCATTTTGATAGTTCAAATTATGAGAAAATAAATATTGGATGAATAGAGATAACCTAATCTAAATAGCACATACCTAATTTTAAGAATAATTTCCTGATACAGAACTTTAGAGTTACAGAAATACATGAAGAAAAATGAAAATAATTGATTTTACTACATATCTTCTTGAAGATAGCCAAAAGCAGAAAGGATTTTTTTTAATACAGGAAAACTGTGATTATTTTATGACCACAAAGAAGAATGTCTTCACAAAGCAGACCAAGAAATTGCASGATAAAAACATTAATCACAACTGCTATTTTTCTTAGAAGGCATGATTAAAAGTCAGGTTCCTCTGCCTGTGTACAGCATTTCAGTGCAAAGGAGGTGACTGAATGCAATCTCTGAACACCATCRTAGCATGGAGAAGCATGCAAGGGAGAAGGGAGCCTACTATGAAAATCAAGCAACCCAGGACAACCTAACTAAAAAGAGTCTTTGATACCACTGGTAAAATATTTAAAATAAACAAGGTGGGGAATGGGATAAAAACAGATAAAGAGGCCTTCAGGAAGCAAAGTATCCTAAAAGAAGAAAGCTTATATTTATTATTTAGAAACAAATGTTTTAACAAAATTCAGTCCCTCTTGTGGTGGACTTTCTTTTGCTGCCTAAATCTTTATAAGGAATGCTGTAAACTCCTGTGTCATCTTCATGATCTTCTATGAACCATTATGAATTGTGACTTGGGGCCYATACTTGGAGGAGAACTGATGGTTTTTATACCTGACTCTTCTCTAGAATTTCTTTAAATGGGCTATTAACATGTCAACTCCCCAGAATATCAAATCCAGATTTTTGCAACAAGTCAGGCCCGTTTATGTGGAGAAATGTAGAAAAATGTAGGAAAGAATTAGGGCCATATTCAAGCAAGTTTACTTTTGGAGGAAAATCCTTTAGTTAACAACAGGTCAGGCTTTGAGTTCATGCTATTACTTTTTTATGTCAGAACTGATGTTCTAAATCTGCAAGCAGSAAGAACAATGCTTCCCCAGAGGAAAATAGTTCTAACCACTGTGACGATAAAAAGACATAGCTGTGAAAGCATTGCAACAGGTGGCCAGTAAATGTAAGGGGAGGCCAATTTCACTTGCATTGCTTTGGCCACAGAATGTTTTGAAGTTTGACTGGGCATCCCATATTTTTTATGAGTTACTTATACAAGGAGTCACTGGGGAGAGGAAACATCCTCTCTCGCCACCTTCCAGAGTTCATCCTTTTCAGCCTTTGTTTTTGGGTGGTTGGGTGAATTTTACCCATTCATAAATATCTCCACTTCAGATGAATTTTTCTTTTAGCCTCTCACTTGCAAGACTGTGAAAGTTGGCTTTCATTTACACAAATAGAGCTAAAAATCAAAGAATAAAAAATATGCTGTTTGTAAATTGGGTTTTTTTTCTCAAATCTGAGAAAATAAAAAATTCTGTAGGTTTGGAAATAGTGGGAGTGTTCTTTGCAGTTATTTTCCATCAGATGCTGGTGTTAACAGAATCTGTTACAGTACATTTGGAATGTTTCTTCTGGAGGGAAAAAAAAGAGAATATTTTACTCTTCAGAACGGAGGTATAAAATAGCAGATCTCTCATGCTTCATATCACCTTAGAAACTGACTCTGATGATTGAAGCCAGTGTCCAGTTTCCTCATGTGACAACAGAGCTGGTTTATTCTCTCTTCCTTTTCTATTTTAGAATTAGCATCTGCTTCAACCACAATGTAAGGATCTGTGTGAGCAGATGTGCTTGTGAAATATGCATGGCTGTATGCCTGTGAATAGATGTAGAAATGTGAAAAACAGGTTCAAAAGCAATGGGTGAGTTGTATTTATCAGCATGTTCTGTGTTCATTCATGTTCTTGCTTAATGCATTCTAATTTTTTTTTTCCCAAAAAGATTAATAGATGTAATCCCCAACAATAAACCCTTTGCTAAAAGCCTTTCTAAAACACTAATAAACAAGAGAGATTCTGATCTCCTAACGGCTGTTAATTTTGAGTAGAAAAGCTCATAATTGTACCTGATATGTTAGTGAAAACACATCACCAACCTGCTTGTGCAATAAAAAAAAATCTTTGTCATAAATATTAAGGGATTTTGAGGAAATAAGTTTTATTTAACTAAAGGAAATGAGACACCAATGTATGGGTTTGGAATGGAAACATTTTTGTYTGTTCAAAGCCTATAACAAAATCTCTCATCCTCCATTATATTTAAGTGTATTGGATACTAAGTGCCACTTTTTTGTCAATTTAGAGTCAATTATTGTTTATATTACTTTTTAAAAAAAAAAAAATATTTTCTTTCTATTACCTCACATCAAAAAGTACTACCACTGTTGGCTGAAGAATTAACTGCTTTTGGAGAAGTAAGTCAGTGAATTTTTTGCTGAGATACTGGGTAGGGAAATTTTCATTTCAGGGGAAATAAAAAAGCCATGAGTTTAGTTTATCTTCATAACGCAGTTGGTTTGTGACTGCAACAAAAGAAGTGCACTGGAATGGGATTTTTTTTAACCAGATTTGGACATGAATAGCAGGGAAGATGCCATGGCACTGGATTTGGGGGAAGCACAGAGCATGCTGAGTGCTCAGGTCCTGACTCATTAAGCTGCAGTCCGTACAGCAGAATTAGTGCATGTATCATTTCTTGGTGTAGTCAAGTAAAGGTAGGTCTGGTCTGAATGCATGTCTGCATTCAGACCTCCCAGCAACAGCACTTTGGCATTAAGGAGACATTTAATTTTGAGCAATTATTGCTTGAGAAATTTTTTTCTTCAACCTGTAATTACATCTCCCTAGGTGTCACTCCCTCTTGAYTCATACTGTAGAAAATTATTCTTAAGGGAATCTAGGGACACACAAGAAGATGGCAGTAGGTTGGTTATAGTTTAAATAACAATGGCTGAAAAATGACTGATTATGAAAATCAGTAAAAGTCACATGCAGAACAGTCATTTACATTATTTTTCTTTACCATTATGATTTCCTGCCATCCATGTTTGAGAAATAATGAACTCTCTTCTTARAAGGAATCCCTTGGTGGATTCACTAAGTCACAAAACTATTCTTATTCTTGTCAAACKAACTTGAGTTTGTAGCATCTTGTAGTTTTTAGTATCTTCAATAATCCTCCTACTGGTCTAGGTTCCTGGCAATTGGAACAGCCTCTCAGTATAACTGGAAAGTCGAGCCTTTCTAGACTTTCAGTATAACCAGTAGAAGGACTGGAAGAGGACGAGAAGTGTCATTGTCTTTCCTCCTGTTCTGCATCGTGTGACATTGTCACAAGTGTGCATCTTTCTCTTGCTGAGGCCCTTTCTGAGTCTCTGTTCACCTCCTTGGAATAAGAACTAATCTGTTGTCAMATATTTCTGTGATGTCTTTTGGAAACTTTCCACAGACCTACATTAAAATTTTGTTGGCCTAATGACATACAGTTCATCATAAAAAAAGGATGTGTGTAGTTGAAGGCAGCTGAGAAATTCCTGCCAGGTAGGACTGGATCCCAGATATGGCCTGGCTATTTGTCTTGAGCTCTTTCAGAACAATGTGATTTGTGATGAAGCTCTCATGACAATCCAGCGCTTGTGTTTGCAATGAGCTTCATCATTCTGTGTTTTTTTCAGGAACTTAGTTTGTTAGTAAAAGTTTTCTACCAAGTCAGTTTACTGTTTTCCAAATACGCTTTCGACATCCCTTCTGACACACAACTTCGTATAGTTGAGTATTTAATGGTTTCCTATGAGCATGCCGTCTTGTGACTTCCAAACCCACATGAGCAAAAACAAACATTTATTGTTAGAAATATGCTTATATTTACCTACCAAAATTATGCAGGTACTACATATCAATTTTTTTTTCCATTCATCTCATTGTTGTAAGAGCACCAAACAAAAGTTTATTTATCCACTGTACTGACAATATCTTCAAAATATTCCTTGTTGTTGTTGTTGTTGTTGTTTTGGTTTGTTTGTTTGTTTGGTGAGCACCTGTAAGCAAACCAAGCCTAGCCTGGAACAATTTTTTTAAGATGTGATTTTTATCTCTACAGAGATAAAAGCATGTCATTGTAAACCAGGTCTASTTATGTCTCTGTTTTTAAAAGCACATGAATTTCCAGCTGTAACCATGGTGCAGAGTGGCTGGACTGATCCCTCTATCAGGAGGAAGTCAGCTCCTGCCGTGAGCCTGATTTCCAGCTCCCATCTCTGCTCTCCTTCTCTTTATCATCTCCTGGCCCCAGGTGCTGAGTATCACACCTCATAGCTGCTGGACAGAAGACAAATGGATCCTTGTCATCACTGACTCAACCTAGTTCATATTAACTGTTTTATTCCCCTAATCAAGCTCTGGGCTGACCGAGGACAACCATGGCTTTACAGATCAGAAAACAGGTGAAAGAGCCTCAGCAGAGTTTGGTGGTAAGACTTATTTTCCTCCAGAGTAGGTRAAGAATTACTTTCCTTCAGTGCCCTCTTAATGTCTTTGAAATGGGTGACAGATGCTCTTAATTTCATCTCCTATGTCACATATGAATTAGAGAATGGATACAATGGCTGTGGGTGCAATTACTGGTGTCTGTAGTACCTACCTGAAATGAGTCTGTCTGGCTGACTCCCTTCTTGGTCTCAATAATAGCTTTTAGTGCAGTGCTCTCTGAAGCCTCACCATAGTTTCTTTTATTTGATGGGGCTTAAACATACAATTTTCTTTTCAGTAAGAAGAAAGTTAGTTCTCATTTCCTTATACAAATGTTACATTTATCATCATTTTAGCCAAGGGAAATTTAGACCAATGTGTTTTTTTAAAGAATATCTCCAGACAGTGAAGGATTTTAGAAAACCAGCAACAGAGACAAGCAGTCATCATGCCAAATCAGCCAGAAATGCTGATGGAGTGAAACAGTGTATTTTCTTATAATTTGGTGCCATAAATTCTCTGGAGACCTTAGATGTCTGAACCATCTGCCCTTTGGCACCTCTGGAGCAAATGGTAAATGCATTGGCATCACGTATGAGACATCTGTCCTCTAACCCTATTTATTCTTGATTTGGGGAATTCTCTCTTTTGTTCACGCTTTGTAAGATTAATCCTAGCTACTGGCCTTAAACTTGTCCTTTTAGTACCTCTGCAACCTATTTTGGAGGAATAATTATTCCTTATTTAGTTTGCTGGCTCACAGGAATCCTTTTGCTAGGCACTTATCTCTCTGTGTCTGGGCACTTAGCCCAGGCTGTCGATTTCAAAGGCAGCCGAGTGCCAAGAGGTTAGACGCTGTAATGTTGTGAATACCTTTGTGGATCTAGCAATTCATCATTAGCTGAAAATTGATATCCTGTTATTTGCCTGAGCAACAGTTGTATATGCAATATATAGGTAAGGATGTATACAAAGTGTTTTGTGTGTTGGAGGTAGCCTACACAATTAATTATAAATGTAGCAACAAGGCTGAAGTGCATTTTATTTTGTTCCTAGTAGTACTTAACACATTCTTCAATGCAGAGATGCCAAGATACACAGTACAATCATGACTGAACTTGCTGCTGCAATGATGGAATGGTGTTTCTTCTACACTATTTTCACTGAAAATAGCCTTTTTAGATACTGCAGTTCTTCATTGCTTGATATCCGTTCCACACAGATTGTAGATGGATGTGTGTAGTTTATTATACACATGCATTTTGTGATATTTGCATTTGAGTTTTATGTGGATGGAATGATTTTTTTTTTCCTTAAGGGTCATTGCATGAGTAGAACTAGTTGAAAAATGCACTTAGAAAATATATGAGGTAACAAATGATTCCTTTATATCATTTTTAGGATCTGYTTTACTTTTTGTGCTGAATGACTCTGGGTACAGTTGAGACCCTGGCATTTTTGCAAGTTTTTCTTTTTTTGACAGTGAATTGCTAACTTTACAGGATAGCTGCTAAATATTTCTCTTACATTTCAGCCCTAGTATTTGAGAAAGAAAGTAAAGGACTTTYAAGTGTCTATCACTATAGCCTAATATCACCTTATACAATTGGTTAAAGATTTTCACAGTGAAGTGTTCATATTTTTGTTACTGAATTTTCAAAAATACCTAATAAATATGAAGATCRTCTACTATGAAGGCTTATTTGTTGTTATTGGCAAATTAGTTGTCCATCATGGAGAGCCAGGATATTCATAAAAATGTGAGGAAATTTACTGCCATAAAAAGGTTCTACATTACATTTTATACAGATAAGAGTAAATTATTTATGTTMGATTGTTGCACTATTTATAGATGGTAAAGACCTATATGCAAGCAATTTTTGTTAGAAATGGCAGGTATTCTGACTTTCAAATATTATTTCTTTCATGTAAAGCAGAAAAGAATTCAGGACAAGCCTGCGCTGTAGAATGAATTTCTCAATCGAATAAAATAATAATGTAATATCCCAAGTAATTGATACATAACTTGAAAGGTGATATGTTTACCTGTGACTAAAACTGGGTGATGCCATTTGAAAGTTGTTATTTTTATAACAGTTGATAATTCCATGCTTCATTTATGCCATGCCTAAACTTGATTCAAACTTAGGATCTGCCTGAGCAGGGAGCTACTGAAGTCAATGAGATTCTGCAGAGGCAKCACAAAATCTGATAATGAATTAGATTAATAGAATATTTCAGGGACTCATGATGATCATGCAGTCCAATTGCCTGCCCAAATCCAGGCTGACCAAAAATTTCAAGCAGATCATRAAGTGCATTGTCCAAATCCTCTTAACCTCTACAGATTGGGGGTAGCTTTGAATCATTCCTACTCATTTTTGAGTAAAATAAAAAATCTTTAGAAATACCTTTGTTTTGTTTGTTTTGCTTAAAGATTACATACATTAAACTTAAGAAAGTTTACACAAGGGACTTTGGTAATGTCTTCATGTAGATCTGTCTACATGCCAAGCTTCCCCTGGCTGGACCCCTGTTTTTGTTCAAATCCTATCACTGAAGGGTGCATCAAACTAATTTGTGAAGTACTTTGGAAAAACAGAATTCTGGCATTTTAATGGGAGGGACAAGATGGGTGAGAAAGTTGGAAAGCTCCCCATGCACAGCACAGCCCTCTAACAGTGACTTTAGCATCTAACTGTGACTTCAGCTAATTATATTTAATGCACAGAAATGTATGTGCTGCAAATGATCTTATACATCAAAAAATTAATATCAGTATTCATTAAAAATAGAATATCTTTTTAAAAAGCTTATTAAAAATAGAACATCTCTTTTAAAACACATTCTTATTCACACTGAAAACCATCTTCAGAGTAGAAGTATTTAGACATAGGGATGCAAAATGTACAATTTGCTTGCATTTGTCTAGTAATGTGTCACTTTTTGTCAGAGCTAAATATTTCCTCATTTTCTTAATTTTCTGGGTTTATTAATTATTAGATTTCCCAGAAGAGTCTCTCGTTTTTGGAATAAYAGCATGCAAGAACAGTGGTGGGAGTTAGATGTAGTCATGAGAATCAGGCAATAGTTCTTGGAGAAAAGATAATTAAAATAAGCAAATCAGCAAACAGTCAGAAAGACCATCTATGGTATAGGAAGCTGGTATGGACTGAGTGATTCATGACATAGGCTCAGGGAATTTTTCCCTTKCATGCTGAGGGAAAACACAGTTTACAGTGTTGTAACAGGGGAGTAGAGATTTCGTGTATGAAAATTATTAGAAACCACTGAGTTTCTGAAGAAATTGATTCTTTTTACTTGACAGGTAAAATACAATTAAATTAGCACCCTCAGTCAGGAAGAAATATAAATATAATCTCTGAGTTTGTGTTCATTTGCTGATTAGTAATTTTGAATATTCAATGACAACTCCTTAAATAATTAAGACAACACAATTAAGAATGTCATAATAACAATTAAACGTGATCTGTATGTATTTGTTCATGAGAGAGCATTGCAAATTCTCTGCTACATACTCTCTGCTGACAAAGCAGAGGTGTGTGACAGTACCTGATACCAAAGAGCCACTTTATAAATATAAAGTAACTTAAAACTGTGGATCTGTGGTTTAATGCAAAGCTGTGGAAGGCTGAGATCTGAGATGCCATTGATTAGGTAGTCTGGGAGCTCAGTCCAGCTGAGCCAGAATATGGTGCTTGACAATAGGCCTAAGGATGTTTAAAAATGTTTTTGAAATATAAAGTAATGGGTAATTGTGTTACACTCTTTAATGCAACATTAAGTGTGTAAGTTTGTACAGAGCATATTCCAAAACACATAGATAATGTTACTTTTGGCTGTGCTGGTGTGTCTCAGGTTAGCACCTTGCTTTCTCTGCCTGCCTGGTTAACTGGGCTATCTGAAGTGCAGATATTTTCTGTGTTAAAATTCTTTTTTATCCTTTTAATTTTTCCTAGGAGGTGTTTGCATTGCTCAGTCACTCAAAATCCCACGAGAACCAAGACCTGGAGAATTTGAAAAGATCATTAAGCGCTTGCTGGAAACTCCAAATGCTCGAGCAGTGATCATGTTTGCGAACGAAGATGATATTAGGTGCTGTTTCCTAATTTTGTGTTTTGAAAATGTTTCCTCTTCACAAAGATCCTTGGTTGGCTAGTGGAAAGTAGACTAACAAAGAAGTTTCAGATTCAATCCTATGTAAAAATTCCTGGAAATCTGATGAAAAGTATTTGAGTCAGAACTATAGAGTGTGCTGGTCCTTTATTCTGCACAGTTCTAGATTGCTCCTAACTCCTAAGAGTGCAGTGCCARTAACACTGGATTGTTATTTCGTGACTGAAAAGGAAGAAACCAATTAGAATGTTAGAAAAATATGGATATTACTCTATCTTGAGTTAATTATAGCAGTTGTTGAATATGCTTTAGACTGTGAAAACTWTATATTAATTAGTTAGTGTAAGCTTACTTATGCATTACCAAAATAAATGCTGGGGTTTCTCAAGTTCTTTGTAAATGCAATTGGTTCAATTAATCATTTGTTTGTTTGCAGGAGAATACTGGAAGCAGCCAAAAAAGCTAATCAGTCTGGACATTTCCTCTGGATTGGCTCAGACAGCTGGGGGTCAAAAATTTCACCAGTCCAGCAGCAGGAGGAGATAGCAGAAGGAGCAGTAACCATTCTGCCCAAAAGAACCTCCATAGATGGTAAGGGCATATGGGGCACAAACCTTACATTTTCTGTCAAAGTTCAAATACTGTAGGTCTCTTTAAAAAATAATTAAAAATCATGTAGTCCTTGATTACGGGAATTCAGGAAAACCAAGTTACCCAAGTTGGCTGGATCCAGCAATAATTTAATATATGTGTTGAGGAGATGCTGAATCTGCAGTTAGGCAATCTTATAACTAATAATGATGACATTTGGGGTTGAGAGCTTCTTATTCGTAGCCTGGTGGTTCTTTGGGACAAAKAAAGAAAGAATTGGATGGATGATAATGAGTCAGAATATTCTTGGGGGAGGAGTTCAATCCATGCCCTGCTTTCCTCTCCTAAACTTAGTTTAAGAAACCATTATATTAACAAGGATTCTGACTTGGTGGATGAAGAGGAAGTTGGTTTGCAGCACGTTATTCCTGTGAGGGTGCTGGAKATAGTAACATCACTTAGTGTCTTGGTAAGTGTGCTAAACTGGTAATTGGTTAGAAAAAATGAGCACTCTTGATGTTACATGGAGGATTTAGCCACAGGGAAATACTTGTAAGGAGCTAATCCAGATGGGATGTGTTAATCATGATTTCATTATGACTGCTGGATTGCAGGAGTAAGGCTGGTGATCAGGTTTAAATAGGAAGCATTAGTTTTTCAGCTGGTGTCATTAAATATATAAATAGAAGCAGAGTTGCAGATGTCCTGGAAGCCCTCTAGTTCAACAAAGAGGTACCTCATGATTTTAGGTGGTGTTGAAATCAAATGTAACCCTTAGATGCTACTATGCTCATAAAATAGTTTGTGCCTAGAGCTTTTTCATGTTTTTATATTTATAAAAAAYCCGATATTATCTTTAAATTACTGTTCCTATATTGTGTCATATTTTAATGCTTCTTTCACTTCTCTTGAATGTAGGATTTGATAGATATTTTCGGAGCAGAACACTTGCTAACAATCGAAGAAATGTCTGGTTTGCAGAATTTTGGGAGGAGAATTTTGGATGCAAGTTAGGATCACATGGAAAAAGAAACAGCAATATCAAGAAATGCACAGGTAAGTGTGAAAATAAAACATTATCTGTAAATTGTTCATAGGAGTGCAGGAAAGGAGCTGTTATCTTTTCATCACTTTTCTGTCTCCCTCCAGTTCTTCAGTGCATATTGCTGAGTTGTAAGAAAAGTGTGACATTTTTTCTTAAAAGCAAAGAAAAAAAATTGTGGAAGATGTATAAGAAATTTAGTAGTTAATTTGCACAAATCCARTGATGGTACAGGTCTTATTAAAGACCAGTGGCAGTGATTCAATTCCATTAATGTTTTCAGTGACCTCCTCTCTCACCCTATCTGTAGTTGTCAATATGATTTTTCTTAGCAAATGTGTGCATCACAGTAATTCTCATATTGTTAGCCCTGAAGTATATACAGTGAAAATTAAATTTCTGTTTAAACTATTGAGGTCTTGATGATAGGTCAAGTCTTGAACTCTTATTTAGTTTACAAACTGTGTTTGAGGATGAAGGAAAAAGCAAATCAATACRTTCTTATTACTTGTACCCATGTGTAAAAGAAGGATTCTATGTCATATTGTAACACTGAAAGCGTCTATAAAGTTTGAACAAAAACTTGAAGTAATTGTCAGTAGCCTTTGCAAAGCTGCTTGCTCAGGCGTCATACCCAGATGCAATTGTCACAGCAGCTAACACAGCAGACACATCAGCAGCTGACTTTGATCTTCCCTGTGAGATGTTGTTCTCTTKCTGTTACTTGAAAAGTTTATTACAAGGGTGTTACATCCTGACTGCAGCATATTGCTTATGTTACATTTTGTGTGGACACTTTTACCCAATGTCAGGGCTCCTTGTGTCGTTTTCTTAATTACTGCCACTGTCACTGGTTGTGGCCACCATCTCTGTGAGTAGTGCCAGCAGCAGTACAGAATTGTGCAACCTACATGCATAAGTAGTCTGTGATGTGCCTTTCCTATGATGTGATTTTTCTATTATTTCACCAAATAATATTTTCCCCATGGAACATGAACTTTTTTTCTCACTTGCTGTCCCAAGATTTCTGGCTGTTTGCTGACACTTTCATGCAGCCCTTGTTATAGGGGTGCCCTTCCAAACTGTCTGCATGCCAGCACCCCACTTCTCCTGGGCTTGTCAGACAGAAACACTGTGAAGTCTCTCTCCCAGAACATGCATTCCTGCACTTTCCAGACCATCCTATTTATTGTATGTGTATTGTGCCATCAATTCAAACACGTACTGCACTGGGCTTCACAAGGCACAGATACAACTCACACAGAAATATCAGACCCATGCATTCACTCTCATTTCAGCAATGATTTTTCTTCTGCCTTTTGCCATATATTTTACAGAAAGAAAGGGTAATATTCAGTTCCTCACTGAGCTAAATGATAGCTCATTACTCTAATCCTTTACTCCTTGGCCTTGATTCATATAGCAGTAAGTTGTGGCTGGATAGCTACCCATGTCTGGAAAGGGATTATTTTGTTATTACTACTTTAAATGGAAAATAGATGGCTTTTTTTTTTTTTTTTTTAGCTCTTCAGGTGGAATGACTGGTGTATGTGCTGTAGTTTGGGAAACTCTAAATGTTACCACAGATGGTTGTATGACTTAGCCTGACTATATGTGTCAGATTGAATTACCAAGTGAAAAGTAGTGTATAAAATGCATAGGCTCTGTCTTGATGTATCCAAAATAATTTCTAATTTGAAACAGATATCTGTGTATTTTATGAAAGAAAATTACGGTATGTCCTCTGAACCTGATAATAGAAAGAAAGCATAGTTTTTGCACACTGAAAATTAATGTGGTATCAAGTGATGGGACAAAGACATGGGTGGTCTCATATGATGGTTGCACATGCATTTTCACCCACAGGGGAAAACCTCTGAATTCTTTGGCAAAGTACMTGTAAGTGGCAAGACTCTTGACTAAAACCACTTTAAAATGTCTGGCACAAAGAAAAAGTCCCCGCTTTGGACAGCAGCAGACCTGATACAAACTAGCAATTCATCATGATCCCTCAGCTAATCTAACTCAAATTTAAAAGGTTGAGTAATAAAATATATTCATTTTAAGTAAACTGAATCAAGAGATGGTGGTAAATTCAAAACAACCCTCCTGTGATTTAACGAAAATGATAGATGGAGAATGGGGGAATGACCCCCAGCGCAGTTTAGGCCCAGAGAATTAGAAACGATATCTGGACATGGCCCAGTTCGTTTGTCAGGGGGTCCTGTGAAAAAGAGAGAGGCAGCAATGAAATACTGGCTGGTTTTTCATACCACAGCCTTCAAAACAGATGGGTGTGTTCCATGATCTTCTATGTTTGCTAAAGATTAAAGAGAAGGATATCCCACCCATGAATTTATCTTTCCCTCTGTGCTTATGGGATTATTATGTATTCCCATCTCYAGTTGAGAACTTGAAGACTGAACTTAAAAACACCATTTATCCTGATTTTCCTGTATTTTTATCTGGGCAGTTCRGATAATAAGATGCTCTTAGTGTTTTCTTACCAGTCCAATTTATATATATCATGTCACTGTCTCTGTAAGTATTCAAGAGGTGTCTGCATGTGGCACTTTGGGACAGGGTTTAGGGGTGATTATGGTGGTGYCAGGTTGACCATTGGTCTCGATGACCATGAGGGTCTCTTCCAACCTTGATGGTTCTGTGATTCTGTGATGTTTTGATGTCAGTAGGCAGTRGTGCATTGAAAGAAATTCAAAAGCTCAAGACACAGTCACAATCTGAAAATCTCCCTCTCCAATTATATTAAAAGGCAAATTGATAAGGTATAAAGTTTTCTCAGGCTTGAGATGTATTTTATTATGCCTTCCTGTTTATCTTACCTAGGAGGTACTTGAATCTTTTTCTCATATAACATTTGTAATTCCCAACAACACAACTGATATCCCTGTTCTATTYAGTCGAGTTATTCATGGCTTTAAATTTGTGCTACCTGCAGTGAGGCTGCAACTGATCTAATCCAATTTCAAGCATTTTTGTCCCCTATGAAGATACTAGAAAATGTTAAATAGTGAAAAACCTTTCTTTCTTTTCTTTTTCATGTAAAATCAAGTCTTTTAAGCACTGAAAGTCCTGAAAGGAATTTATCTTCCTTCAAGGTTAAGAATTACACAAGGCATAAGCCTTCTTACCTTCTTCTGTTCTTATACATTACTGACTGTTACAGTTTAGTGTWGTAATGACTTGAACAGTTTATTTAAATTTTAAAATCCTGTTTGTTTGTGGTTGCTATTGCTCTTATTCCTATAAGAATTTGTGCTTTGGAGATAGATAAAGTACTAAGTTTCTTTTGAATTTGMCTGTTTGTTTGTTTTCTGATTTTTGCCCTTTCACAGAGAGCAATGATTCACCTAAACTTTGAAAAAGTAATTTCTTTGCCACTATTGATTTGAAGCTAGCTCCGTGTGTTTCTGAATGTGAGTGTACATTGATCAAATCCTCAGTGTTAGAATAGTTCATTGAAAAATATTAGATTTCTCATTCCTACTTTTCTGGAATTAAAAATATATCAAACTGGGCCACTAACTTAGCATGAAACAATAATTCAGTGACTATCCTTAAACTATTTTCCTTGGGGAAGGAGAAAGGCATTTGCAGAGAAAACATGTTTGTCTTATTACGACAAAATGGAAAAGAAAGGAGTGCTACCAAGATTAAACCATACGTAGAGGTTACAAGAAGACTTACTTTTGATAGTTATTCAAGGTGCAGTTTTTTTACATTCAATAAAATCATCTCTAGTGAGACATGACTCTTTCAGGGATCTTCAACAGTCTTTCTTTAGCCCTGGGTTCTCTGTGGGGAAGCAGGGGAAGTGAGGATATGGAAAGCTTTCACTCATGCCTCTGCCCCAGCAGAAAAAAGGCAGAGACCGCATTAATTTATCCTTTGGTTCCTCTTGATTCTTCAGGAGGAAGGGTTGCATGGTGGTTGCAGGAGRTGGCAGAGGCTCTATTGCTCTTGATCTACTTTCAATTTAACATCCTGGAGAATTTTCCTATACCCTCMGCTTCCCAGTTGACTCTACCTGTGTGCCAAGTTTTGGTAGCTGAAGATTTAACATTACTTAGAAATACTGTGCACTGACTGAACCTCTGGCATTTTGTTCTTAGCTCTGACTCTTGGTTGTTGAACTGTTACTTGTCAGTCCTACCTTAACATATATTTCTAGATCTTGTCTTTCTTAAGAAGCCTACAAAAGGATGAGTTCAAATATTTGAAGATCAAAGATTCTGCAGAATGTGCTTTTAATAATTGCATTGAGTAGAGGTGCTGACAACATACAACATCACTCTCTCAGAAAAGCAAAATAGTGATAGTAAAGGAAAGCAGCAGTAAAGATGAAAAGTTCAGAGACAAGGGTAAAAATTTAAAAAAATCTACTTAGATTTGCTTCCAGCAACCTCACAGACTGCTAATATTTGATTTAAATCTAACAAAAAAATCTGAAGTCCTCTTTTCTTATATGTATGTATGTATTTGTGTGAAACCACAAGTAGATATGTGCTTGTATGCTTAATCAGATAGAAATGTAACATGAAATGGAGTTGCTTACTATATAATGTTTTAATAGGAAAAATCATAGCCTCAACTTCAAATCTGACATAAGAAGACAGTTCCATTGAGAATTGTTCTGGATTTTACCCATAGAATCCCTTGAAGGCACGCATTATGGCTTTTGAACAGCAAAATGGGGCCCTTTAATAAAACCTCAATGAAATGTGGTGCTTTCATAAAACCTCAACAAAAATGGTAATTGTAAATCTCCTTCATGTACATCCCCAMAGAAGGAGTCTCTCCCCCTGTTTTTGTATGGTTAGAATTATAACTACTCTGCAAACCTAATCAGCCTTTAACTGCCTGTAATGACTGTTCTGTGCTAAAAATAAAGATGGAAGAGTTTCCAGAAGTATAGGGACCTGTGTCAATTAGCCTAATTTCACTTTGCTCTATCAAAATGAGATTTTTTTTTTCAGTGCAGTGAAATAGAAAC